TCTTCTTTCACTCTGGTGCATACAAAAAATGCAAAATCGTTGACACCAATATCAAGGGGGATAGCCGAATTTTGCCAAGATAGAAGTACGTGTAGAGAGATAGCAAGTGCGCGATTCCACACTCAAGCACTACCCAAAGTGCTACGCATAGTTAATTTGTCCCTTCTTCCAATGGTAAGCCTACAAAAAATGCGATATCATTGACCCCATTAGTTAGGTAGAATAGCGAAATTTGTGGGAGATAGGGATAGGTGCAGGAAGATAGCAGGTGTTACTATTGCGTACTCCAACACTAGTCAAATCACTACGCAGAGCTGATTTGTCTCTTCTTCCACTCTAGTGCCTAGAAAATATATATTAAGGGGGACAGCCAAATGTTTCCGAGATAGAGGTAGGTGTAGCGAGAGAGCAGGTGTTGCGATTCCACACTCAAACACTAGTCAAAGTGCTACGCATCCTACTTGAACCGTTAAGACAACAAAAAATGCGAAATCGTTGACACAGGGATAGGTGCAACATTAGTCAAATTAGTACGGATAGCTGGTTTGTCTCTTCTTCCACTCTTTTGCCTACAATAAAGCAAAATCGTTGACACCAATAATTATTAAGGGGGATAGCCAAATTTTGCCGAGATAGAAGTATGTGCAGTGAGATAGCAGGTGTTGCGATTCCACATTCAAGCACTACCCAAAGTGCTACGCATAGTTTATTTGTGTTCTGGAGAAAGACCATCAAGACCTCCGGACTTTCCTCATTTTAGATTTTTTCAATCTCTTCCACGCATATCTCTGTGTCGAGGAGCTGTTCGTTATTGCCAAAGGATGACGCTTCCATTTCTGAAAGAGCAGCACACTGTTCACCAGATCTGACTGTGCAAGGGAACCAAAAAAAGATCTGAAGGTGCATCACTCCGTTCCTCTAGACCCATCAACTGGGCTTGGGCTGTTGAAAATGGGGACGTACATGGTTTTGCTGAACAAGTACCCTCTCTAACTTCACCTTTTGTTCATGCTACACATCAAAGTATATATCCAGTGGGAAATCACGTATGTAACCAAAGGTATCATTGATGCTGCAACAAGGTGTTTACCACACAAAAAAGCCAAGAAGAAAAGATCTTTTGTTAAGGATGATCAGCTCAAAGATCTATGCAAAACCAGCAAAGCCGCTTGGAAAAATTGGAGTGACGCTGGTCGTCCCTCTTATGGCCCACTGGCAGAATAAAAGAAACGTACGAAAAGAAATGTTCGTCAGTTCGTTGCCATAGCTAGAGCTAGACAAGAGCGATCAACAATCCAAGAAAGAGATCACCTGTTCATAGAAAACCACTCCCTACGCTTCAAAACTTCAAGTCTAAGGACCGAATGTACAAAACTGTTGTAGACGGCCAGTCCGTCACAGATACAAGTGGCATACTCAACGTCCCTTCTTGCAATGTTTAGTGGGAATATTTAGTGCGACAGCCCAATTTGGCAAAGATATTGATAGGTGCAGCGAGATAACAGATGTTACTATTGCGTCCTCGAACACACGAGAAATTACTATATCCGCATAACTGGTTTGTCTCTTCTTCCACTCTGGTGCCTAAAAAAAAAGTGAAATCGTTGACACACTTACTTAGGGAGGATAGCGAAATCTGTAGGTGCAGCAAGATAGCGGATGTACTATTGCATACTCCAACACTAGTAAAACTAAAATGAAAAGCACTGAAGTGCAAACCCTCGGCGAACTGCGCACGCGCGGTACCACTAATTGATGGGCGGGGCTTTTAGTATGCGTTTACTAGTGGTATCCACGCTAGTAGCTCGCGGAGAGTCTGACACGGACAAGCTACAGTAGTAGATAGCATGCGGGAGTCGACACACGCCCTTCGTTGTGACTTCTTATGCCTTCAAGATACACCGATAAAAATGGCGGACTACGCATTAGTCGTACAAAGGTGGAAGCGCTCTAGCTTTGCAACGGAGCATTTTCAGAGAAAACCGCCTTTATTTTCTTACCTTCGTCACCCGTTGGGTAGATCATATCGTTTCTGGGACGAACAGACGTTCGAGGAGTGAGATGTAGAGTAACAGACAAACAGACAGACCCAATGAAAAGCACTAAAGTGCAAACCCTCGGCGAAGTAGCTCGCAGAGAGTCTGACACGGGCTAGCTACAGTAGTAGATAGCACGCGAGAGTCGATACACGGCATCCGTTGTGACTTCTTGTGCCTTCAAGATAGACAGAGCAAGCGGACCCGGTCGAGGTGTAAGCCTGTGCTAAATATAAGCGCATGCGCATTATCCGCCAGCGATAAAATGGCGACTACCGGCATTAGCCATACAATGCTGGAAGCGCTCTAGCTTCGCAACGGAGTATTTTCAGAGAAAACCGCCTTTATTTTCTGACCTTCATCGCCCATTGGGTAGATGGTATCGTTTGTGACACGAACAGACATTCGAGAAGTGAGATTGAGAGTAACAGACACACAGACAAACCCAACTACAGTACCTCGCTGCGCATGCGCGCGGAGGGTAATGAAAAGCACTAAAGTGCAAACCCTCGGCGAACTGCAAATGCGCGGTACCGCTAATTGATGGGCTGGGCCATTAGTGTGCGTTTTACTCGCGGTCTCCCGCTAGTAGCTCGCAGAGAGTCTGACACGGACTAGCTACAGCAATAGATAGCATGCGAGAGTCGATACACGCCATTCGTTGTGCCTTAAAGATACACAGAGCCAGCGGACCCGGTCGAGGTGAAAATAATAAGCGCATACGCGTTTTCCGCAGCGATAAAATGGCCGACTACGTATTAGCCACAGAATGCCGGAAGCGCTCTAGCTTTGCAACGGAGCATTTTCAGAGAAACCGCCTTTATTTTCTGACCTTCATCGCCCGTTGGGTAGATGGTATCGTTTCTGGGACGAACAGACATTCGAGAGGTGAGATGTTGAGTAACAGACATACAGACAGACAGACACACACACCCAACTACAGTACCCTCGCTGCGCTTGCGCGCCGAAGGTAACTATTGTACCCTCGCTGCGCATGCGCGCCTAGGGTAACTACTACGCATAGCTGGTTTGTCTCTTCTTCCACCCTGGTGCCTACAAAATCGTTGACTGCAATATTAAGAAGACACTCTTAATGCAAACCCTCGGCGCACTGTGAAGCGCACGCGTAAGTAAACGCATGCGCCGTACCACTAATTGATGGGCTGGGTTTAATTTAGCTGTTACTCGTGGTCTCTTGCCAGCGCGCGCAGAGTCTGACGCGGGCTAACTACACTACTAGATAGCATGCGAGAGGCGATACACGCCCTGCGTTGCATCTTCTGGTGCCTCCGAAGTATATACGCAGAGCACGACCGCTGTAAGCCATCCCGCCCGTTGCGTATTTGCATATAAGCTTTTTCGCGCTCTAGCTTTGCAACGGAACATATTCAGAGAAAACCGCCTTTATTTTATGACCTTCGTCGCCCGTTGGGTAGATGGTATCGTTTCTGGGACGAACAGACGTTCGAGGAGTGAGATGTAGAGTAACAGACAGACAGACAGACCCAACTACACCCTCGCTGCGCATGCGCGGCGAGGGTAACTATGATGGTAGCACGTATGAAGATGACTCGGTATGCATGCATATTACATCATTTTTATGACAACCACATTGTTGGAACAACAACAAATAGCCTTTTCTTTGTAAGCGCGTGCAAGCTGTATTACTCGCCGAGGCAACGCCCACAACTGCTATATACTCCCCGAAAGTTTTAAAACTACTCTTCACTCGTCAAACTTGCTAATGCGAGATTAACCTTGGTATGCCAGCGTATTACATCGTTTCCATGACAACCAAATATTGTTTGAACAACAAATAGCCTCAGGCACTTTTCTTTAAAATTACTTCTTCACTCCGCAAACTAGCATGTATGGAGATGTTGGTACACATACGTATTGCATCGCTTCCATGACGACCACATATTGTTTGAACAACAAATAGCTTCAGGAGTTTACTTCTTCATTCTTCAAACTTGCTAATGGTAGCACTCATGGAGATGAAAATTGGTACGCAGCATATATGACACTGTCTCCATAACAACCACATATTGTTTGAACAACAAATAGCTTCAGGCCTTTACTTCTTCACTCTTCAAAATTGCTAACGTCAGCACATGAAACTTGGTACGCATGCATACTACCATGACGATAACAGGCATTTGCATTATTATGGGGCTTGCCCCCTTTCACAGAGATATTATATATATTATATTATATACATGTACCATAGGGATGGTATAACTAGAAAGGGAGACAAGATAGAGATGGGATACATGAAGAATTAAAAAAAAGACGGTATAAAAGGATGTGATACAAGAAGCATGTTTAGAGAACAGATTTGAGCATGCTGACACCTTGACCTCAGCACAAAATCCCTTTCTTTTTATACCATCCCTATATCCTCTTTTTAAATTCGCAGGATTTTTATTTGTTAAACATTCAACATTACACAATAGTCAGGACTTGCAGCAACAAGCGTTCGTAGAGGACATCCGCCAGGCGCTCTATGCCTCCAAGATCGTCTCCTAGGAATGCTTCTGGGTAACCAAGAGTTTACGAGTGGCACACCATGAAACAATGTGTCAGCGTGCTCAAATATTTTTGTGTCACCCATATGCATGGAACAGGCGAACGCAAGGCAATTGCTCATTTGCATAATAATTTATTGGTTATTTCACTTGTGTTTAATGGTATTATTCAAAGGAAGAGCATCCAGTCACCCTCACCAAATCAAAACTCACTGACAATGTAATTGGTCTAGTGATGCTACTAACAGCCACTGCTAGAGCGAGAACACATCATCAGCCACCATGTTGCGTGGTGCAGTCCAAATTAGCACTTCGTGTTACACATTCACGCAGTGCGTAGTTTACATACACACACAGCATGAGCTAAACTGGTAGAGCTTGTGCTGAAAATTTTCTCTTTAGTCATTGTATTATTAATTATAGCCTAGCTGACATGTGAAGAAACATCTTGGATAAAAATAGCATAAATAACTTCGATAAAAACTTTCCGAATGGGCTATAGAATCGTAGTTTGAACAAACCCTACATGAAGAGTTTGGCATTTAGGACAAAACAAATGGCCATCTATCAAGAAGCACTGTTTCTTTGAGCCAGCAAACAGCATTCCACAGTCCTATATTTAAAAAAATGACAACTGAGATCATAATTATAACAGCTATGTATGTACCACCACAAAATACGAAATTTCAAACTTATGGACAACAGTTGACGCACACCATCCAACCACAGCCCTGACTTGAATATGACACAATTGCCCAACACCGGAGTAGCGATTCCAAGGACCAGGGTATGAATGTTTTCTTTATTGTTAACCACGTTGATACAGTTTGCTCAATTTACCTCTATCCCTAATACCTTCCAGCAGCAACCTACCCCTCAATCTCGTAGCTGGCTCCCACTTAGTACTGTTCATTATTAACCTTGGCACATATGCGCCGCGAGAGTCAAACGCTTGGTCCCTGTGTGTAAGTCAGTTTGTCCGCAGCTATTGGCCACTACTGGCTACAAAGCAGCCTATGAGTGATCAGAGGCGGATCCAGCATATGATGATAACTGGGGGTTGTAAATATATAATACTTGCGCATGCACACGTAGGGCCTCAGAGAGCGGGCGCGGTTAGCACATTATAAGACGTACGTAGCTACTCGGATGCTTCTCTGTTTTGGATGTTACAGAGTAACAGCGCGTGAACTTTTGGGGGGCGCTGCTTGCCCCGTGGTGGTGCGCTCAACCTACATAATCAATGATTTTCAGGTCAGTGTCAGTGGTCCGCTTCTTGGCGTCCTTGCTTTACGAAACAGGGGGTTGCAACCCCCTCAATCCCCTCCCTGGATCCGCCCCTGGTGATATAAATGGCTTCGGAACAATGCAAAATATGGCAAAGTGAACTGCGTTTGAGAGATATATGGCATACGAACAAGCACTGCCTTGTGATACCTACCCATAGAAGAGCGAGAAACTGTGTCCGTTGACATGTGCGATTAGGCCCGGTCCATTAATTATTTATGCACATGCAAATCATTTTCCACATCAACCCAAACATTTGCACTGTAGTGATTTTTCATGCTGAAGCTGACTGAGCTTGAAGACACTGATATTCTTGGTGGCAACACCATAATTCTACAGAAGAGCGAAAATAAGGATTTGTAATCTATAGAATGTTTGCCATTTTCAAAATTACCAGACCTATCAGCATCTCCTATTGGACGAGAAGTCACAAAAATATGTGACTGAATTTCATCCTTTGAATAGTTACTTCGGACAAATATTATTCTTACTTCGGATATAGGAAGCCGTAGTCAGTGCCCCTGCACCAAAATATCTCCAAAAGGTGCTAACGAAAAGTATCATCCAATCCACAGATTCAAAAACGTTCCACCTTGGAACTGGACATCTTAGTGCAAAACAGCCATGGAGAACCCAATATATTGTTTGTTCTGTTAACATTTCCTTGGGCTAGCAGCTGGTGCTTAAGTCTACGCATAGAAGGGTGATGAATTGCATTAACTTTGCACAAAATACTTTCTTTGTTTTGATCAGAATAAACCTCGTTGACAGATGCATATTATACTGGGTGTGTTTGGTGGTTTAATTACCCCGGTGTGCGCCCATACGTATATACTAAGTGAGAGTATACTGTGCCAATTAGTTCAACGTTGCCTTTGTGTAATACTGTGGTGAAGATTTGAGCCCCTAACAGCTGAGTTGCCTTGTTAGCTCAGTTTGTAGAGTGCTCACCCAGAATACAGAGCGCCGTGGGTTCCAATCCTGCCCAGGGCAGCTCAACTGCCGTGGGTGTGTTTGCTATGCTTTGCCTTTTTACTTCGTTACCTCGTTGCGTGTCAGTTTCACACCATTGGTTCTTGGAAGTGGTTTCAAAGACTCCTAATGTTGAGTGATGATACACTCACATACCTCACATCTGTAACACCTCACATGGTAGTATCTATCCTTGACCAACACTCGAACATTCTTTGCCTTTCCCTGTAACAATTTTGCAATAACTCATAACTATGAAGAGTTCAAAGAAAACAAGGATATTCTGAGCACTTTTTCAATATGGGCCACCAACTTAGCAGCCAGGGGGGTATTCAGCCTCAAACAGTGGGGTTTGCCTTAATTTTTGGCATTCCTGAGATAACCAGGTTACAGGAGTCTCTAAATCTGACACCAAAGAGGCTTTTCTTTCTTTTCTTCATTCCTCAAATTTGCAAACAGTACAGTGCCAATGTAAGAGAGTAATGTAGACAGAGGCCGCCACCATGCCTAACGATGAGTTAAATTCGACTTGGTACATCGACAGAATGATGTCAAATTTTTACTCTTTGAGCTTAACTAAAATGCCTGCAAAATCAGCCCAGGAACCTACAAAACTACCATTTGCACTATTATCCACAAACCCAAAGGCGAGCAGCAAATTTGTTTCTGGTATTAAAAGATGCTCCTATAGACTCAGGATTGTGTATATTTAGTTTTGGTTCTTAAGTCACAGTCTTGCTAACCTAACTGCTTTTCTGAAGGACCTTCTTTTATCACATGACCTCACATGATCCCTATCAGACTAATCAGCAATGATTGTGGATCATTTGATACATCATTTGTGTGGATTGGTGACAGCAAGACATACGTACAAATTGGGCAAAGAGTGCAAAAGTGATCATCCCGCGCTTGGCACCGTAGCACACGGGAGTGAAACTTGGTACGTATACCATACTTCCTCGATCAGACGCTGTGGCTACTATTAACTTCAGTGCGGCATATCGGCATTTGTTATTTTAAAGTGCCCCACCCTACAACAGGTGCGTCCAGACCCGCAGAGGTCATATCATGGCTGCTCTTCTTTTTCGTCAGCAATTTGTGGTCATCACATTTTTACAAATCTGGAGCAACCTATTAGCCCTGCCATAAATACCGTTGCCACTTGCTATCACTGACACAATAAATGACCAAAGAAGGTACCTGCTACACGCACGAACAAAGCTCGGTTACTGTTCGAGGGCGGCTACTATTTCGTTCGTCCTGCAATGCATACGGTGCCTATATGAAGGCAGCTACCAATTGAGGTGCGGTATTGATAAAAGGAAATATGGTATGTATTACCGTAGCACACATGGAGATGAAAGTTGGTACTCTTCGGTATTACATAATTACCGTCGGCGCACATGCGCGGCGAGGGTACCGTAGTTGGGTCTGTCTGTCTGTGTGTGTGTGTCTGTTATTCTACATCTCACCTCTCGGATGTCTGTTCGTCTCACAAACGATGCGACGTACTTAACGGGCAATGAAGGTCAGAAATTATGAGCGGTTTTCTCTGAAAACACTCCGTTGCAGAGCTAGAGCGCTTCCACCATACGTCTAATGCGTAGTCGGCCATTTTTATTGCTGCGGAAAATGCGCATGCGCTTATATTTAGCACAGGCTTACTTCGACCGGGTCCGCTTGCTCGTCACAACGAAGGGCGTGTATCCACTCTCGCATGCTATCTACTACTGTAGCTAGCCCGTGGCAGACTCTCTGCGAGGTACTAGCGGGAGACCACGAGTAAACACATACTAATAGGCAATAGCCCAGCCCATCAATTAGTATCGTGCACGTGCAGTTCGCCGAGGGTTTGCACTTTAGTGCTTTTCACTCCTACATGTATTCAAATTTTCCGTAACATTTAGCTCAGTTTCATTTCTGTAAACAACACCAAAGAGCCTCATGCACCTTTCCTTAACACTACCTCCTCACTCCTCAAACTAAGTTATAGTAGCAGACATGGAGATTAAACTTGCACAGATGTGTACCGCACGACATTGTAAGGGACTAGTTTTTCATTCCTGAAACTGCCTAATAAAACAGTTAAACTTCGTACATGTCTGTACTACATCACCATACAACATTTGAATTGATGTGAACAGCAATTTGTAGTTATAAACCCCACTACTAAAAACTTCCTAATTTGATTAACATCAGCATTTTTTACGTACACACTAACTACAATTCTTTCAGCTCACTGTAAGATCAGGGGCAAGACATTATGGTTCGGTGAATAAAGCTATCTGTACCAAAGCTAACGAACGTGTTGTATACATAGACATAGTATAGCCGAGTAATGAACCTATGTTATTTTCTCTCCGCACAAAGTACAATGTAACTCACAGGTTGGGGAATAATTGGGTTTCCACAAGATGAGCATGGTGGTGCAAACAATCTGAATGGATAAATAAAGCAGTGCAAACTTTTCAGTACAAAAGTAATGTGTGAGTCTATGAACTGTGTGATACTGCTTATGTGAGTATTGTGATTGTTGCGTAGACATTTGTGGATGTCCTACACACGCACTCACCTGCGTTGGCCGCAAAGTGTAAAGTTGGATGTGGTGGAGTGAAACCCATTCTTATAATCCCAGGGGACTGGCAATGGTTATGCTAGAATGCTAGAAGCCAGAGGCAGCAAGTTCGAAGAAAGACACCAACATCAAAGCAATCACATTAAGCGACGAGCCAGATGCAAAGGTTTCAAAGTACATGTATGGCTCTGAAAATAGCGACAATTCTTCCAAAATTAAGCGAGCCTCAGAGCCTAGCCGTGGGTGAAAGCACTATGCGATTCTGGATGTGCTACGGGTTGTGATCCAGTGACTCCAGGAAACAGAGTAGGTTGCTATTTAAACATAATCAAGAAGTCCCGAAGTTTAAGTCATTACTTAATATCACACTTCGTTTTCTATAACCCCTAGCCATGTTCACTTATAACGTACTGTTGCCTCTCCTTAGTTGTTTCTGTTGCTCGGGCCACCCTCTTTATTCTGCTTTCCCTCAGTCTGCTACTAAACTTACAAGTAAATTGCGAATTTAAAAAAGTCGCATATAGGGATGGTATAAAAAGAAACGGAGACAAGATAGGGATGGGATACATGAAGCATGGTTAATGAACAGATTTGAGTACGCTGACACCCCCAACCCCATCACACAATCCCTATATTGTTGCCTGGTGTGCTACTCTTATAGGGGCTAAGGTTACCAAAAGCATTCTTTCACCGTGTCTCTGTTGTTTTTAGTAACATTTGTACTGCCATTAAACTCCACTTGGATTCTATAAGGGTGTTGGTTACTCAGTAGTGCATGGTAAGTTCTGAGTATTGTAATGGTGAATGTTTAATACTTCACCTAGGCAACAATATAGGGATTGTGTGATGGGGTTTGGGGTGTCAGCGTACTCAAATCGGTTCATTAACCATGCTTCATGTATCCCATCCCTATCTTGTCTCCCTTTCCATCCCTATATGCCTCTTTTTTTAAATTTGCAGGATTTTAATTTACTTCTCCACTCATTTTATATACTACTACGTATTATATCTGTGGAAGGGGGCAAGCCCCTATAAAAATTAATAATAGAGAAAAAATGCCTGTTGTAATGGAAATGATATGCATACCACGTATCGTCTCCATGTGTGCTGCTGTTAGCAAGTTTGAGGAGTGAAGAAGTAATTTTAAAGAAAAGTGCTTGGGGCTATTTGTTGTTATGGTCGCCATGGAAACGATGTAATACACATGTGCACCAAGTTTCACCTCCATGCGTGCTACAGTTAGCAAGTTTGAGGAGTGAAGAAGTAAGTTTAAATAAAACTCCCTGAGGCTATTTGTTGTTGTGGTCGTCATGGAAACAATCTTATACACATGCATACCAAGTTCCATCTCCATGCGTGGTACCGTTAGCGAGTTTGAGGAGTGAATAAAGAAAAGTGCCTGAGGCTATTTGTTGTTGTGGTCGTCATGGAAACGATGCAATACACATGCGCACCAAGTTTCACCTCCATGCGTGCTACAATTAGCAAGTTTTGAGGAATGAAGAAGTGAAAATGCCTGAGGCTTTTTCAAACAAAATGCGGTCGTCATGGAAAAATGTAATCATGATGGAAATGATATAATAGGCATACTTACCGAGTTTCATCTCTATGTGTGCTACCATTGGAGAGTTTGAGGAGTGAAGAAGTGAATTTAAAGAAACGTGCCTGAGGCTATTTGTTGTTGTTTACAAACATGTACTGTTGTGATTTTAATGTTGGTGATTGAACACATTATGTCTACAAAGTTTCGTTCACATAGCTCTTTCCAATTGTGAGTTATACTGACACATGTGATCCCTTTATGCCTGGGGCTATTAGTTGTTGTTTACAAAGAAATAAGTATGACCAGTGTCATCGGGTGACGGATATCTACATTCTTACAAAATTTCATTACTATAATGTTGTTTCATTTTTGAATTATGGGTGTTGAATCTGAAGAAGGAGAAGGAGAAGGAGAAGAAGATCAACAAAACTCCCCATCATAGCCCCAAACATCTATGACCATACCAATCCCTATATACTAAGTACTACCGTACTTAGTGATATGAAAGAGCACGGTCTGAATGACAGGTTCAGTACAGGCTTGCAAGTAAGAAAGTGAGCAGTAAGCTGGTAGTTTTCTGGGAAGATGTTTAACCTTTTGATCCTTGCTAGCAATAAAGCTTGCCATTTTAGTAAGCTACTCCTTGAACATTGCTATGCAGTATAAAAATACTCTCATCCATTTATATCTCAGCTCAATTGCTCCAACAAACTAATGCACAAAAGTCGCCACAAGATCACCCACATGTACCAAAACATGTGAGCACAGGATTTTGACATCGAACACTTACCTACTGCAAACCTCCTCCAATAGTGGCGTGTTACAAAAGTGTAAAAGCCCTACCACATACTCGGTTACACACTTACACGCATCATCTATGCTGAAAGAAGAGATTTTAGAGGCAATTGTGAAATGCAGACTGGAGGCTCCATATGAAGTTCAACGGTAGTGCAATACGCACATATCCCAAATTCGGCATTGTTATGGCATGTGATGACAAATGCAAGCATTTTAGCGTCCAGCAGAGTACGGGCGCCATTTGTTCCAAAACGCATTCTCCAAAAAATGGATGGGTAATTGTCAACTATGTTTAAATTTTGCTGCAATAAGCGTAATGATCGGACTATATGGACTGTACTATTTCCATTTGAAGGAATACTAAAATCGGAAATAACTCAAGTCGTCATTTTTATAAATCACTACAGAATCAGTCCCCCAACACTATAAATCCCGTTATCGATATATAAATTTCATCAGGGTGTGTGGGAGTGGGGAGAACTTTTTTCATGTGGGTGTGTGTGAATATGTGTGTATTGTCAGCATGAGTGTAATGTTAGCACGTGTATAGCATGCGTAATGTGTGCATCTGTCATATTGTCATGTAATCGTTCTCGAAGGTTCCATCTGTACACGTGGCCACCCCTCTATATAAGTTTTGTACTCAGAAGGGTAGAGGAGAGACTGTCTTGAGACGGACTGAAGTGTATGTGCTGTCTGTGGGTCGTGTGTCGACCAGTCTTGCATAATTATAATAATAGTTGGCAGAGTACCTACATGTGTCGGAGCGGCTCTATCACAATTGGTGGCAGCGGTGTCGTCATCAAACGGACGAGACTCACGGTGCTGACATTCGACTACGATGACAACTAGATCTGGGGCTACCTACTGATGAACGGAGCCGACGAAAGGGACGATGAGTAATCCTCGAGAGGGTGACGAGCGTCAGGGAGACGCGGGTATGTCAGATATTTTACGCCTACTACTTGAGGATCGCCGGAGACATGAGGAAGAGCTCGCGGCGGACAGAGCGCAACGAAAAGAAGAGACACAGAGACGAGACGACGAGTTAGCGGCGGAGAGGATGTGCCGAGAAGAGGAGGCGCAACAACATGCTGCTCGAATGAATGAGCAAATGGATATATTGCGCAGTCTCGTGGACACGTCACGGACGCCGGGTGCTCCCGGCGTTGATGGGCGAACGATCGAGGGACACGGGCCAGTTAGAGACAAGCTGGTTCTTACGAAGCTCACCGACGCTGAGGATATTGAAGCGTTTCTGACCAAGTTTGAAAGACTGATGACGGTGTATGGGGTGGCGGAGGATTGCTGGGCCATCAAGCTGGCTCCACAGCTAACAGGCCGTGCTCTGGAGTCTTATGCAGCACTGAGTTCCACTGCAGCTTCCGAGTACAAGGAGGTCAAGAAGGCCATTCTCTGCCGTTACGATATTAGTGAGGAAACGTATCGACAGCGTTTCAGGTCAACCCGGAGAAAGGACGGGGAGTCCTACACTGAGTTGTCCACTCGACTGAAGAGTCTCGCGACCAAGTGGCTCGCAGGGTGTGACTCTGTAGCAACGGTCATCGAAAAGCTGGTAGTTGAACATCACAGGACTTGTGTGTTTGGCTGTGTGAAAGGAAGCCTACTAACGGAGATGAAGCAGCAACTCTCGCAGATGACTACTGTCTGGCTCGAAGACGGAGGCGCAGAGATGCATGCAAGGACAGTTCCGACAAAGGGGCACGCAGGTGTTTTCGATGTGATCAAGAGGGCCATTACGCATCGCAATGCTCGAAGAAGAACTCCAGCAACCAGTCCGCTGAGACCGACACAAAAGAGAAACCACAGGAAAAATCAAAGGGCAAGTCTGACTCTCCCAAGTGCTACAACTGCGAGCAGAGAGGACATCTCGCAAGAAACTGCCCCAAAGCACTCTACTGTGAAGAAAACGTTCACCAGGGTTGTGGGGACAGGGAAGAGGTGGTTCTGGGTGAGGCTGGTGGGGGTGGGAATGGGGAGGGAGGTGGAGTGGGTGTGGTAGGTAGAAGGAGAAGGTTGGGGATGGTGTGTTGGGGGTAGAGGTGGAGGTGTTGGACGAAAAGGATCGGAACAGGGGGGTTCAGGAGGTGCCGGTAGGGGATGGGCAAGTGGGGGTGACTGGGGTTTGGGGTCAGACAGGACCTCCTCCCACCCCACTACCAGACTACAGGGAGGTCGGTCAAGATCTGATGCGCTCATGGGGACGTCACCACCTATCCGCTGGCTAAGGTGCACCTAGAGATTGATGGTATGGGAGTGGAGGCCATAGCAGCTGTGTCGAAAACCCTCCCAGTTTCTGCTCTCGTTGGTACAGACATTCCTGGACTCGGACAACTCCTCAAAACAACCCCTAACCCCAAGCCAGTAAAGTACCAGGCTCTAGTTGTAACTCGAGCACAGGCCAAAATGAACGCAGCAGAGGAAGGTGACAACTGTCGGAAGGACTAGCGGAGCCAAGTCATCACTAACCCAGTCGAAACCTCACCTCAGGATGTTTCAC